AGTTCACTGAGGGTTGCGATCCGTTGCCGGACATGAAAAAAGACAAAAAAAAAAAAAAAAAAGTCAAAATGAACTGGATGTCTAAAGCAGACAGGAAGAGGGCCGTGATAATGATGGCAAGGCAAAGAAATGAGGTATCACATAGACTATCTTCTTTAGACTGAATTATGCACGAGTCTGATGTATTCAGTCATATGACTTACTGATGACTTGCTATAGAAAATAGAGGATGCCTTTTTGTTAGACAGCAATTGAAGAAAAAGGCAGTAATGTAAAATTTCTCAAGAGAATCTTTCCAAATGGTTTTACGTGAACTTTGAGCGAGATGATGATTCTTAGCTTTAGTTACTTGATTGCTGTAAAATACCCCAAATCGGGTGGTGACTAGAGGCTGCAAAGGCTAGATAGAACACATAACTGCCTTGAGACATCCATTTGAAAGATGTGAGTTCAAAAGAAACAGAATCTGGCCTATTTTTAATAGTTTGTCTTTTTCATCTGTTTGGTGTGGGGTGATAGTAAATCTAAGCCATAGTTTCTTTCCTGTGAGTAGACAGGACATAGAAACCCTTCAGATGACCAGTTCTCTGGGGGAGCAATTACTACTCACTGGCTTCCTGAGCAGCTTGATAATGTTCTGCTCCTGTTTTTAGCCAGGCTGCAGCCGAGGCAATGATTTGATAATAAGAGATCCTGATTAAATTAAGAGCCATTTGCTTCTGGATGATGATGTTGATAAAAGGGTTGATGTCCACACTGCCTGCTGTTTCACAGGTCAAAAAAATCTTTCACTAAAAACTATTACAAAAAGCAAAATAATCAGAATCAGCACCAGGTTTGTGCTTTCTTTTCTGTCATTGTCACATCTGGGCAAGTGTCTATTTGCTGAAATCCCGACCAGATCCTTTGGTCTCATATTTGGAGGAGTTGAAATTGGAAGTGGGCACATTGAGAAGGTGCCTGTATAATGAGTCTGCAAACCGCTAAACTCTGTAAATTAAAATCGAGCACTCGGGGAGCTCTTGGTCATCTATGCTTGGTTCTCACAAACATGTGCATGCTCACACTTGTATGTTTTTTAAGACAACAGCTTTTGCTTTAGTTGGGCAGACATAAGTGACCGTTGTTTGTACAATGGTTCTTCTGGTTCCCAGACTCAGAGTAGATGGGGCTGCTCGCAATGTCAGTTTGCTAGAAAAGGAACTATTGGCACTATAGCCCACATACAATGTTTAGAAATGCAAGACAAGAAGGGGCTTGCAATACCCCCTTGTGTATCGCTTGCTCAGCCCAAGTCAGGAACTCTGCAAGGACTTGGTAGTCCTGTGGGCTGTAGTGGTGACACAGGCAGAGGGCGGGCAGGGTTGTTGTGCGCAGCAGCCTGAGAGCTCAGGGACCACGCGGAGGCTATAATTGGTCTATTGACCACACCTAGTTGTTGAGTGCTGCGCTGCCTGAACATTTCAGCTCTGCCGAGATCGCTGGAGTGCACGCAAGCCTACCTTCGGCCCCAGACCAGAGAACCGTGGAGCTGGAGCGGTGGAGTCGTGGAAACTTTGCCAAGTGAGTGGAATGGGGAGAGAGGGAAACTAGTGGCTGGCACTGAGGGGAGTCGCTCAGTAGGGCAGCAATGGAGATAAACTACTGGTTTGTGATTCTTACTGATTCCGTCTGTAGTGGGAGTTAGCAGGGCTGGGACAGATGCACAAAAGCACCGTGGGGAAGGAGATGAGCCCAGGATCAGATTGATGCCCACCACTTGGCACCCTTGCAGTCCTGCTGGCTAGAAGGCAAGCACGTCTGACCACAAAGCAAAGATCCTCAGACTCTGCTATTGACAAGCCTGGAGGCCAAGGGAAATGCAGAGGGGCTGCAGTGAGGGACCCCTCCCCAAATGGGTCCCCCCCCACCAGGCAGGGCTGACAGCTGGGGCTGCAGCTGAGTGACAGGAAAGGAAAGCTTTATTCCACCAGCCCATTAGCGTCACTCACAGCATTAAAAATGCAGGAGGTGGTGAGAGGAAAGGGCTGGGGATGAAGGCTACTGCAGCAGCTGGGGTTGGGAAAAGCCAGGCTTCGCCCTCCTCAGAGCTGAAGAACAAGAGCAACTTTTGGTTTAGAAGGAATTCTGTAGTGTAGAAGAAAAGAGAGCCTCCAGATGGTTGCTACGGGGAAAATCGGCACTTGGGGCTTCTTTATAGCCTAAGTAAAATGTGCTTACTATTTTGAGGGCCAGGGCCTCGTCTATTCTCGGCTGTATCTACCCTGCCTAGAACAGTGCCAGGCTCAGCAACGCCCGCTGAGCGTCCGACGGAGGCTGGGCACGGAGGGGAGCCGTCCTCTGCGTGCTTAGGGAGTCAGGGTCTCTCTGGGGCTTCCTCGCGCAGGGCGATGCCGGCCTCGACCACCATCCACGTGCTGCAACTGCTACGGGAGCTGCTCGCCTTCGTGCTCCTCAGCTACACGGTGCTCATCGGGGCGCTGCTGCTGGCCGGCTGGACCACCTACTTCCTGGTGCTGAAGTGACAGCGCCGCCGCCCTCTCCTTGCCCCCGCCCTCAGCCCCCGCCCCCGGCCGGGGCACCAACCCCGCGCTGCTCCGCCTCCCGCGCATGGCCGAACACAGCTGGCCTGGCTAACCGGACGACCGTCCGCCTCACCCACAGGCCCCGACCGCAGGCCGGGTCCCCCCATCCACGTCATGACTCCCCACTCAGCTCCGCCTTCTCAGGCCCGGTCCCGCCCCGGCCCGCGCGGAAGCTCCGGCGGTTGAGCTTCCAATGCGGCCGTTTCAGCCGTTGCCCTAAGCCCCGCCCGCTGCCTTCACGTCTGTCCAATCCCGACGGCTTCCTCGTGTGGGGGCGTGGCCATGGGGCCAGGGCCTCTTGGGTGGGGGCCGTGCCGCGTCCCACGTTGACGAGGCTGCGTCACTTCCGGCGTGTGCGTCCGGCGCTCGCCCGCCGCGGGATGGCGGCTTTGAAGAGTTGGCTGTTGCGGAGCGTATCCTCCCTCTTCAGGTACCACTGTGGCCGTGTAGGTAGCAGGAACGGAGGGAGGGAGGCGACGCAGAGAGCGCTGTGGCCGAACCCGCAGCGCCGGCCTTGCTTGCGCGCTCTTCTCTTGTCGGCCGAGCCCGGCGGCGGCGTCCCTCCCCGCTCAGGATAAGTCTGAGAATGGCCCCGCCACTGTCCCCTCGGCCAAGCCCCGGGTTCCTTTCTCTTCAGGTATTCCATATACTAAAAGCTTGTCCCCCCAACCCCGGGCTGCCTTTATGGGGCCGCTTAGCCTGCCGGCCAGCTCTCATCAGCCTTTCGAAGTCCCTGTGGAAACTGAGGGGGAGAAGGGACCACGACGTGGGGAGAGGCACCGGAGGGGAACGGATTATTAGACGACGGTCACCCTGAAGGCAGAAGGGGCCCAGGAAATGGTCACAGGGGAACCTCAACGCGGGCGTCCCCTCTTAGCGCTGCAGGGCTTTTCTAGCGGACCGTCAGAGAAACCTGGACCCCAGGCTAGGGCCCCGA